GTGTGTGTGTGTGTGCTGAAATTATATTATATTGAAACCTAGTGTTATTACGTCGACTTGAAGTTGAGAGAGACGGAGTGAGTCAACCCTGCAGCTTCAGTAATATTAGAAACTCTCAAACGGCATAAGGAGTATTTTGAATATTTATTAGTATGAATGAATATTAATATTTTAGTGCTTTCGGGTCGTTCATCTAACATAAAACTAAGTTTCTGGTAATTTTTTTTTAACATATTAGCAGGAAGGCTCAAGGACAGAAATATCAGTTGGTAGTTTGGTTTCTGACAACTTGACCAGAGTGAAATACAACTAATTGATGGATTCAGAAGGTTGGCGGCTGATCCCCGGCTCCTTCCTCTGCATAGCAAAATACTGATAATATTGTTCAAATGTTAGTTTGTGATGAGCAGACGCCTTGAATGGCAGCTTCTGTCATCAGTGTGTGAATGGGTGAATGTTTGAGTGGTTAGAAGACTAGAAAGGTGCTTTATAAGTACAGTCCAACTGAGATTAATTCTAACATCGCATTGTTAACAACATGACGACATGCTTAACTTTACACGCTAGACATTGTGGTATTTTGGTACATTTGGTAACATGCTAAACGTAAGCATTCTGCCATGTTCACAGAACACATTAATTTAACTTTGAGTTTTAGTTGACTTATACTTGACTTAAACTTGGAGTTTGAGAAACACTGTGGTTAAAAGGAACCAGAGGAGACAAGACAATAGACAAATCCAAACCAAAGCATCTCCCAAATACTTTTTACAGACAGTTTAACGTCACTCTACATCGTAAAAATACAGCTTTTTGTTAAAGATGTTGTCTTCATGCCTGAGAGAAAGGTCACAGAGGAGATCTTTAAGAAAGCATAAACCTGTTTGAACCAACAACCAAAGCTGCCACTTTTCCAATTTTATCCTTTTTCAAAACTTAAAACAGAAATCACAGTATAGAAACATCAGCATCCAGCTTATATGTGTGTGTTGGTGTTGTTGTAGTCTCGTCCTGAGCGGGTTTTGGACCTTTTCATGTCTAACAGTTACCATGCGTCTGTGTTCAGGATCCGAGTGGCCGGGATCAAAGGTCTGCAAGGTGTGGTGAGGAAGACGGTGAACGATGAGCTTCAGGCCATCATCTGGGAGCCGCAGCACATGGACAAACTGATCCCGTCCATGCTGTTCAACATGCAGGACAGCGAAGACCTGGACAGGTACTGCTCTCTAACACATCAATCTTTGTTTAGTCTTTGTGCTATAATATTAGATCGTCTGAGGTGAGAATTATTGGAGGTGACCTCGAATCTCAATCAATTATGCATGCACTGCTTTTCTCACCTGAGGCAATCAGAAAGGTAAACCACTCCTGAGTTTCCTCCACCGTCGAGAATAAAGGTCCTTTTTTTTTACCTGATATCCTACAATTCACCTGTGACCTTCACTGTTTTATGAATGCAGGTTTCAGAGACTCCTGGAGCCAAATACACTCGTTACAACATCTGTCCTGTCTTCCTTTTCCCTTTTCACCCCTCAAAATGTTTGTGTACTGTGTGTGTGTGTACTGTGTGTGTGTGTGTGTGTGTGGGTTTAATCCATCTGGACTCTTCCTCTGTACACCAAAAGATCTCAGATCCCTCTGGTTCTGCTCTGCTCTGTGATCCTCAGGCTGCATTTAAGCCTTAAAATCCAGTTTCCGAATCAGAGTCTGTGAGTCCTGTAAACCTCCAGAATCCTCTGTAAACATAAAGCTTGACCATGAAACATTCCCGTCAGCCTCGTCTAGATCAGAAGATCAAATGTCACTCAGCTTTCTGTGGCTGTAATAAAGCTCATTGTTTTGTCTTATTCACCCTGAAAATACCCAACAGTTCAGTTTGCTGGATTTAACATAACAGATGTCCATCTCTCTAACCAAATACAGTACTTTATAAAATGTATTGTGCAATATTTAACAATGAGGGGGAAGAAAACAATGTACTGTCCTTGAGTTTCACCTGATCATAACTCAAATTTGAAAAAGACTCTCAGCAGCTTTTTATTTCTCTCCCAAACATTTCTCTTATCATATCTGAGCAGTGTGTTCTGGGGACAGCAGGAGATTTATTGCTCGTACACCCTGCTGTCTCAGCGTTGTTGTTTTTTTACCTCCTTACTGTCACTTTGGGTAAACGTGGAGACTTTAGGAACTGAGGCTGCTCAGACGAGTCCAGGAGGTGTTCAAGGTTAATACAGCGCGGCGTTGCATAAAGGTTTGTACGAAATGCAGCGTCGCAGATTTTTCGGTCTGTAGTCACCACAGAAGTTGACGGTTCGTCGCCAGTGGAAAATTACTTTTTAGACTTTTGTTTCCCGAAGAATATATTAAAAAACTATTTTATCCACTTTAGAAGAACATGGTTTGTAAGTAAAGAGCTGAAGTTTCAGCGTTATAAGCTTCTTTTCTTTCACTGCAAAAACAGCCCTCCTAGAAACAAGCTAAATATTCTGAAATATAATTAAATTTATGTAATGACAAAAAATTAGCCTTAAAACTAGAACAAAAAGACCAAAAATGTAAGCAAGCTGTGGTTATTACAAGCTATGAAAACTCTATTGGCTATTTAAGACTCTTAAAATAAGTATTTCGGTCACTTTATTGAGCTGAATTTAAGAATTTGTACCATCATCTACAATAAGACACAAGCAGCATAATAAAAGTAAGAGACTTGATTGAAGGAACCAGAAACATTATTATTTTGATTATTTTTTATCAAAACAATGAAAAACTAAACAGATGCTTCATTTCCAACACTGGGACAGACAACTTTCTCTAAAATGGAGAAGTTGTGTGTAAAATAAGGACAATAATCTTGTTCCTCTGCTGGGATATTATGCAACCATTGTTGTTACTGGTTAAATCGAGCTCAATATTAGCTGTAATATCACATTAAGACAATTAAAACCAGATTATTTTTGTTTTTAGACAAAAAATAAGACAAATTTTTCAGAAACAAGTCTTTTCTACTGTATTGATTCCTGCTTTGCAGTGTAGTCTGGTGTCTTTGTTTGACCTTTAATGTTAAACATTCGCTGCCCCCAGTGCGAGAAGAGTCGGGATCTAAAGTAAATCCTGCGGTTGGATATGATGTAAGTCGCTCTGGATCGGAGTGTCGGCTGAAAGAATACAAACCTTCGCCTGAACTCGATCCCCGCTCTCCTGTCGCCTTTGCATGCCTCGGATCTCATTATATCCATTCAGTCCTCAAACCCAAGGCCCGTGGTCCTGGGGAAGGAGGAAATCCTTGTGATGTATCACACTGAGGAGTTTTCTCCTTTCACCCGGAAGATTTACGGCGAAGATCAACGAATCGGGATGGGAAGCTTAACGCTGGAATCTCTACGCTTCACCTGTCGGCTCACCTTTACCCCTCTTTGTTTGTTCTTGTCTTTACTCTCCATTCCTCCTCTTCCCTTCTTCATTTTCCAGCTCTCTCTTCCCCTTGTTTCCTCTCTAAGTGATGTTCCTTGATAACAACACTCACCATTTATCACTTAAGAGGAAGAAACGGAAAATAATTGTAAATTGTACCAAAAAAAGACATATTTATTAAAATATATAAGCTCCCAAATAAAATTACCAACACTAGGAAATCCAATTTAATCATTATTAGTACCAGGTAGGCAGTTTGTGCTGCAGCAAGCATGAAAGCACATAAGAAACATACAAACATACAGCAATCTGCACAGCGTCACTTACTCCAATTCACTGTGAGTCATTTAAGCTCCTTTGGAGCAGACTCTAAGTGTCCACCGTATAACCCCTCAGAGCCTCTAAATATATATAGAACATTCAATATTGTCCCCTAGCAACATAACCATTTCATTTTAATTCACCAGCAACAGTGACTCGTCTCTGCAACTATGGACACAAGATCAACACTACAAATATAATATATGAACCTTGGTATTAAAGATCATCATCATCCTCATGGAGCAGTTACCTCCTACCTGAAGGAATTCTTGTAGTTACACCTGCTGTTGATATTTAAGTTACATACATAGAATTCAGATTCACTGTAAAAACTAATAGTTACTGAAAACAATGTGACCAATTGTATTAATTGGAATATTTTTTTTAATTAAAATAAATACAAATTATATTTTTGCATCTTGACTGGAATGACTTAAATCAAAGGATTAAATTATATTTTCTTAGGGTCTGTAGCTCTTCCTGCCAAGTAACATCCTCCACCTACATTGGAAAAAAAATAAATACAAAACTTTACGATAGAACTTTATACTGTTACGGTAAAAGGACATTAGTACTGTTGATTTGCAGTTAGTTTTATTCTGTTTTTTACCATCAGAAGAAGCAGTTTTGCTACATGTAATATATAAAAAAAAATACTTTATTCTGTATGAATTCCTTGAAAATGTCATATAGAGGTTTTGCCTGAGATGTGATGTTTTTTTTTTTTTTTACTGTTACAGAAACTGTTTACAGTATTTTACCGTCACAGTTTGACAGTTTTTGACCATAAAACATTTTTTACAGTGTATTAGAAGGTCAACGGCCAATATGGCGGCTTAGAAAGTTTTAGATGAAACAAATCAAAATATAAAACTACAAACATCACAACTTTCTTTCTCCTCTTCTCTCTTTATCTCTTTATTTTCTCCTCGCTGCTTCTTTCTTCCTCGCTCTCACTGTGGCTTCCTCTCCTCTCCGTCTCGTTCGGGTGGTTTCCATGTGAACAAAAAGCTATTTTTGGACCTTGTATTCTTTCTCCCTTTTGTCTTCTTCCTTTTCTTGTTCTGAAGCTCCGGCAACTTCCTTCCATCACACGTGGAGGAATTGAGGTGTTAGGATGCGATCATGGACCATAGTTTGTGAAACTGTGCTTAAAGTGATTTCACTTAAAGGTACCCTGTGGAGTAACCTAATTAAAACACACTGGGGTCTGACAAACGTGTTAAATTTGCAAAGATGAATAATGTTTTAGATATTTTGAAACCTGTTTCCATCCATAGTTCCTTTTGGCACTTTAACGTCAACAACTGTTGATCAGCAGGTTGGCTTAAAACCTAGAGCTCGCATAGCCCCTTATGTAATAATAGAAATGTAGACCTGCTGTGTCCTTATGCATGTGCTCGTTTGGGGACCTGTTCATTAAAACATTGCTCCAGACCTTCATTAGTGGTCAAATCCTCCACTTTTAATGTTCAGGAGGGATTGAGAATATGACTGTGAGCAGAGTTGTTAGTGAGCTACCTGCTGAGACAATCTGAGGATAATATAAATATAAATATTGGTTCACAAAATGTTTTATTTGTGCTCTTTTCTTCTTTTTAACTGTGAATTTGCATAGCACGCCTCTCTGATGAAAAGTGTCACACTGCACATCAAAGAAATCACCTTGAGAACAACCTTTGCCAACTGTTATTAGCACATGCAAAAGACATTATTTTCTTTTCATATTATGCCAGTGCACGCTGCGAGCTCTCATTTCTACTGAGTTCAAATCAGTTCAAGTTACATGTGTGAACCCATGAAGGGTCTCAAACAACACAAAACAATGTCCTTCAGCAAAATACAACCTGGGCTAAAATCTGTCCTTCAGAAGACCTGAAGGTCATTCTGGATCTGCTGCTCCAACCTCACAGAAAACAACCAGTCCTCATATGACGAAACACTGCCTTCAAAAAGAACCTAAAAGAGTGTTTTTTTCTGCCTCTATGGTTGAGGCTTTTTTTGGCTTAGGGAACTAAAACTACTTGGTTATGGTTAGAGAAAAAATGCTTTCAAGGTTCAAAGGTCTTTCCTCTCTAAGAGGTTTTGTGTCATGAAAACGTCATTCTGCTTCTCTTTTTGAGATCCATTAAATCAACTGAATTAACCACATAACGTAATCAAAACATCAACTCAACCTGACTTTTGTAAAGCTGTCGTATCTTCCATCTTTATATAGGTCGATGAGTCAAGCTCTTACTAAAGCGAGTCGGAAGGAAAGTGAAAACATCTTTTCTATCAAGAAAGTCCTTCAGTGCCGTTCTTTGCTCTTCTTTCAATGAAGGAATTATACTCTGATACAACTGAAGCTAGCAGCGGCTACTATGGTTGTGTACCGTTTATATTTCAACCAACATCAGTACCTTAAATTTTCGGTACTTTATGCTCTCTGTAACAACAAAAATGTAATTTAAGTTGTAAAAAATAAGAAGAACTCCTCTTACT